TACCTGAAGTCTGCGACAAGTTGAGGGGTACGCTACGTAACGTATTCTGGATACATGACCGATAGGCTCCTATTTCGGACGAAACAGGCCAGTCGCTTTATAATTTTGTACAGGTTCTAACAGACTGCTGCTCTGTGAAAGCTCCTCCTAGTATGAAGTAACTACGGTATCTCCCACATGGTCAAAAAGCGCTTTTGTTCAAAACTGCCCGACTTTAATCATATCGTTAGGTCATCACTTCAGATCAGGCATGCTGTGTAGGCTCACCTTCACTGATGATGCGTCATAGTTCAGTTCAATTTTTACAGCCATTAACCATGCACTTTCGTGCGCCCGTTTTGGTTGCAATCTTTTGGCCACCCATTTGGATCAAAGAAAAGGATGAAAATGGGCATGTTAAAAGCCAATTCAAGCGGAAGACAAATAATTCATGTATATCGGTGTTAAGAAAATAGTGAGTAGATACATGAGAGCCACTGTTTGCAATCCCCAGCCTTATCGCTCGGGGTCCCCATCCAGGGACCCTAACGGTACCAATGTGCCCCAGTATCCTGGTTAGGATTTTCATACCCGTTTGACCACTCGTGATCTTTTTCCGACGGCTCCCTACCTCGGCAAACAACACTCGCCTTGGCAACCTATCTGGTGACATGCGTAACACATGCCCCAAACAACGTAATCAATCTATGGAGGTCGACCACTTGCTCCAGTGGGCGACCGCGGATACCCAAAACTCTGCGCCTCACCTCAGCATTGCTCATCCGGCTACCCCACCGGCCACCAGATTCGTACAATGCTGCGAACGCCGCGGTGTTCAAACACCGACAGTCTGTCTTTATCCTGTTTTCTTAATGGCCAAGTTTCTGCACCGTATGGCAGGACTGGCCAAACTGTCGCGGCATACACTCGACCCTTCACAGACAGCCGGATGTCGCGACGGTGCCACAGATGTCTCAAGTTGGCAAGTGCCAACCGAGCCTTTTGTATGCGCACTGACACTTCATCCGTGATGCGTCCACCGGGTGAGATATAGCTTCCCAGACAACAAAACTTGTCTACTGCCTATACTAGTTCCCCGGTCAGGGTGAGGTTGAGGGCTGGACCAATCCAATCTTGTAGCAGCGTTTTACACTTTGAAGGTGCAAAACGAATAGCGAATAGCTACATTAGCACTCAAACTATCCAGAAAAGCTTGCAACTTAACTGGTTATTCACTTAGTAGCATACTCTAGATCAGACAGTCTGCCACCTGGGCGTACCGTTTTCCTTGCAGGAAGATAGGTCTGTTTCAAGGATCCAATCTGTGATAAAGTTAAATAGAAACAGAGAGAGAGGGTAACCCTGTCGAACACCACTTCCTGTGGTGAACACGGGTGAGAAAGTGTCGTAAGGTCGGAGTCGACTTCGGCCATTGGTATAAAGGGATAGTAAGATTGAAATAAACTTCTTCGGCACACCCCTTAGAGCGAGGCATCGCCAGGGTTTGGAGCGGTCGACTGAGTCAAGAACCGCTTTCAAATTGAGGAAGATAGAGATGGTGGGT